GCGGGAGGGAGGCTCCCAGAGAGCACCCGGACAGGGAGCGGGCGACCACCTGCTCAGCGCAGAAGTGCAAGGCAAACAATTCCAGAGGAGCAGGAAGAACCCTTCCCTCTGCCCTAGGTCACCACGGGTGTGGTCACAGGACACCCTCCCGCACCCTGTGGGGAGAGAGGACACTGAGCTCTGCAGACACAGAGAGAGAGACCAGCCTAGGGTGGGCAGCGCCAAGAGCAGCGGAGCCCTGCCCATGTCCAGACACCAACCGCCGGCTTTATTATTTCCTAATCCCTCCTCCCCTAAGAAACAGGATTTAAAAAACACTGCATCTCTGACACAAGAAAGAATGCTCCCCCCAAAAAGAGAGGGATCCTTGTAGCCTAAGAGAGGCGCAGAGATTAAACTTCCAATCTGGCGGGGTTCAGTTCACACTAGGCCCTAGTTTCAGTTCCCCGCACTGACTGTGTGTGTGTGTGTGTGTGTGCGCGCTAAAGTGAAAGAAATTCAGGGAAATATTTCAGAAAGAACACAAAAGATAAGTATTGGAAAGCAGGAGAGAGGAGATACAAAATCAGGGGATGTTTAGGAAATACAACATCCAGATAATAGGTATTCTAGAGAGAAGAATAAAAGTAGTGGTCAGAAAATAATATAAGAAATGATATATGAAAACCATAATCAAATCAGAACAAAAATCTCCAAATTGAAAGGATTTAGCCAGGACCCAGTTTAGGTAATGAAAAAAGACCCATCTCAAAGCACACCTTCAGAACAACACTGATGAGAGACAATTCTAAAAGCTTCCTGAAGGAGAACAAATTTAAACATACACAGAGTAAGTCAGAGAGCTGCAGAAGAGATGGCTCCAGGAAAAGAAGCTGCGGAAGCCGAGACCAGATGTGGCAGACCCTACTCCAAGAAAAACAGGGAATTATAAAAGAAAGGTAGTTCTAGAGTATGACTTAGCAGTGATCAATGGTTACAGGGTTGTAATAATGAAGACCTCAAATCAGATATTAACCAGAAAGATTCTGGCAAACTATGTTGAGAGGATAAGAGGAACACACGAGCAAAAACTGCCTCCTGAGGTTACGGAGGACATCTAAACGGCACAGGGAGGAGTTGGACATGGAGTGGACGTCCAGGAGAGGGAAGGACCCGGGAGCCGCTGGGTGCTGGTGCTCTTATAGGCCTTTGAGCCCAAACGATCGTCTACAATATGTCCGGGTAGTACTTGGATAGCACACAAAATAAAACAAACCAACAAAAACGACTTCTCCACAGTTTACTTAGTAAACGTGCTACTCTAGGATACAAAACTGATCATGTAACGAGAGCTTGCAGATTATCAAAGGCCTCAAGTCTAAAGCCATGCTGTGCTGCTCTCGAAAATCAAACCTTCACCTCGGAGACAGCGGCCTTCTCTTTAACACCACACCCATCCGACTGCAGTCCCCAAGCATGGATTCCAGCCCCTGGAGACTTGGCAGTCCCTCGGAGACTGAACTCCTAGTCCAGGGGGGGGGAGGAGGCCTGGCTTCCAATCTGATGCCTTACTAACCCACACAACACGGTTCCCAAACCCACAGCCACAGCCAGCCAGCCTGGAACCTTCCACAGGGCCAGGGCCAGCAACAAAGCCCACCGGTCCCAGGTTACAGGGCGCTGCGTGCTCCCCTTGGCTCCCCGTTCACACAGAGTGGAGCCGCAGAAGCCATTGCTGATTTGCCAAGGAACTCAGAAAATGACTTCTTGGTTCCAGTTCTGCGTCTGCGAACCATGGCCAGGGTGAGCCCTGCTGAGGAGCTGAGACCTGAGTGCACACGGCAGCCGAGATGACATGAACACCCCCTGCTTTCAGTACCATGGCTGACTTAGGGCAGTACTTCCTCTGAAGAAAAATGAGGCAGAATTCTGTTTCCTAGAAGTCTCCCCTGTTCGAGCTGATACTGCTGAGAACTCCAGTGGCTTTGTGCACGTGTGCTGAAGCACCCGAGGGTGGCTCTTCCCATGAACGTGGGGTCCCTCTTCCTCTCTGGGGCTCTTCTCTAGGCAGCCCCATGCTAAGAGTACCTGCTCCTTCTCTTTTTCTCTGTTCTTTGCTGTTAACTCTGTCCCTGCCTCTAAAAGAAAGTCACACACACACACACACACACACACACACACACACACTCTCCGCTGCTCTCCTCACGCTCCTCTCTGGGAAATCTCTCGACCCCAGCCACCCCACCCCTCCACACACTCCCAGGTGCTCTAAGCTCTAAACCTGCATTTCCACCTTCTTCTTGACACTTCCATTAGTACTATCTGAAAAATCAGATCCCTCTCATTTCTCTTTCTTCTCAACAGTGACATCAACAGTCTGAGTTATCTAGGTCAAAATCATCATCAGATCCTCTAGGACCTCCTTCTCTTCGCACCCTTCATGGGGAGTAGAGTGTAAACCTCAGAAACACGCGTGTCTATCCTCCCCGCCAACGACCCTGCTTTTCACCCGTATCAACACTGCACTATAACAGACCCATCTCAGCCTCAGTGTGTTCCTTCCCGGTCTGCCACCGGCCACTTCTACCCATCCTGCCCCCAGAGTGGCTTTGATCAAATGGCTGCTGACTTAAAACTATCAATGGCTCCCCATTGTCACCTCCTGGCACATAAGCCCCCTGACATTAATGTCCCAATTCAAAATGTTTAGCCCAGCATTTCTGTTGTGCTACTTAAAGCATGATTGCTCATGCTCCGTCTCTGCCCACCTCTCTCAGGACACTCCGAACCCCCAGTGGAGGAGAGCTGGCCCTGTCCCCTGTGCTGCCTCCGCAGCCTGCACTTTGCACAGGGACACACACAAGAAATGTCTTTGAATTGAAACCCAAGAGGACGGTCTTCAAACGCCTGCTTGGAGTTCATCAGATACTTAACAACCCGACAACTTCTAGAAGGAAGTAATCTCTGACAGCAAACCCTGGTCCTGGTTTGAACACAGCTGGGATGAAGGAAGCCTTGGTTGGAACTGACGGCTGATAAATGGTTCTATCAAAGAAGACAACAACAACAACAAAAGGCTGGCTACTGACACAGCAGATGACACTCTTGTCCCTAAGTCTATTTAAAATCCCCTAGTGGAACACCAGAATGAAACAGGCCACAGGATTTCCCTGAGGAACTCTCCTGACAACAGTGGCGGTGGCTCACTATCCTCCGATCCTGCTGGACTCTAAACCCAGCTGTGCTCCTCTGCCTGCTGAAAATAACCGTGGGGCTTTGCTAGGCTGCACGTCTCTCTCTGGCCCAGCTAGGGCTGTCTGCTGATTTTTAAACAGCGACACATAAACAGCATTTATTAGCATGGCCTTGTTCTACTCATAGAACATGAGGAGTGAAGCTGCTGCAGATACTGCTATGAGCTGGTCTCTGATTCACCACGTGGCAGGCTTCAAATAAACAGGAAGAAACATTCATTAAGCGAGTCTCCTTGACCTGTGGGAAACAGGTACCAAGGTACTGGCTTGCTGATTATGGAAAGTCAGTAAACAGTTTCAGGGGTTCTACTAGCCCTCAGATGGCCAGCCCCCAACTAGCCTTGCTCCAGGGCTTTGTGCAATTGACCTCAAACTTCAAAAGCGGGAACAGTAATCTACTCCGCCCTACTTTCCCTGATAAGAGTATTCAGGTGTCCCACTTTGTCTGGATTTATGGTGAAAGAAATAATTTTTAAAGAATCAAGAAACTGAGCAAGTTTATCAAAATAATTTGGCAAAGAGAAAACTGGACAATGTCTGAACCCCTCAGGGGAGCACGGAAGCCAGCTGTGGCTCTTAGTCCCCAGGATTCAGGCCTGTCTTGCATTTCCTGGGCCATTTCCACTCCACTCTAATCCGCATCAGCAACGCACCGCTCGTTTCAAGTCAGAACCCTCACCATGGGGTCTACTCCCGGCCACCGATTTCTTTGTCCCTACAGGCAAATCCAGCTGGGTACCAGCTCTGGTCCAGCCAAGCAAGTGGGTGAGTCCCAGAGGCCCAAGGTCTCTGCCCGGCAGGGACAGCTGGGGGCGGCAGGGGGCGCTGCAGAGCCTCGGTCCCCACCCAGGAACCAACCCCAGGGCTCTGCGTGTCGGTGGCCGCAGCCTCCTCTGACCCCAGGCTCTACCTAAGTCTGTGCCGCTTCCTAAAAAAGACAAGGAGCCCTTCAGCACAGCCCAGATCGTGGGAAGAGAAGCAGGGGCATCTCACCCCGAAATCCGACCGCCCTTTTGTCTTTATGCACCTCGCCGTAGACTAATGGCTGGAGATTCAGAAAAGTTGCTCCTTCTCAAATTCGAGCGCCGACCGCTCCTTCGTTAAAAGGAAAAAGCCGGGGAGGAGAGTGCGGGGGCGGGGAGGAAAAAGAGAAAAGAAAAGGAAAACCAGTCGGGGACCCTGAGCTCCGTGGGAACCGCAGCCCAAGTTGTCACCAAGCGGCTGGGCGACCGCGCGCCCCCTCCCTCCGCGGGCTCACGCGGCGGCGTCGGTTCTAGCTGGACCCCACCAGGAACGCAGGCAGGGGCCGCGGGCACCCAGCACCCCGTTCCGCACCGCCCCTCCCAGCTCCCCACTTGAGGCCCCCCCCCCGACGGCGGGAGGTGGAGGGGACCCGAGTTCCCAGGGTGGCTCCCGCGGGGACGCCGCGGGGGAGCTGGGGCGGCCAGGGTCGGTGCGCATCGTGCCCTTCCTTGGCCTCCCCAGGTAAGCCTGGGGACCCCGGGGTCTGCTTCCGAGGGTCCCAGTCTAGGGGAGTCGCGCGTGCCGGGCTCTGCTGGCTGGACGCGTGTCTGCCATCAGTGTCCGTCTGCGGGGCCGTTCCGCGCCTTCCTTCGGCGCCCCGCACCCCAGTCCCTCGGCGGAGCGGGACGGAGCGGGAGCGCCGGGCCGGGTCGGCGGGGGCACCGTCGCCCGGATCCACCCGCCCCGCCGCGCACGTCGTGGCGCCGCCCTCCCGTGCGCGGGGCGCGGCGGGCCGGTACTCACAGGTCGGGCCCCGGGGAGCGGGGCGGCGCGCGGTGGCTGCGCGGCTCCAGCCCCCCGTTGACGCCCCTCCAGCCCCGGCGGCGGCGCTGCGGCTCGGCTGCCTCGTCCTCGCCCTCCTCCTCCTCCGGCGCGGGGAAGGTCACCCTCGCCTGCTCCTTGCACTTCCTGACCTTGGTGGACATCGCGCCGGCCGCGGGCCTCCTCCGCCGCGCGCCCTCCGGGCGGCGCCGCTCCCGGCCAGCAGCGGCTCCCGCAGCCCGCGCGGCCCGGGGCAGGAAGGCGGCGGAAGAGCGCGGCGCTGCCCGCGACCTGGCGGCTAGAGGCGGGAGCCGGCGCCGCGCCGCCGCCCACCATCCAAGCGCGGGAGCCGCCGCGCAGTGGCCGCGAGGAGGAAGCCCGGGCGGAGCGCGCGCCGGTGCCGGGAGAGGAGCTGCGGCCCCGCGGCCGCGGCGGTGCCGCCTGCGCGCCCGTCCCCTGCCTCCGACAGCATCACTTGCTAGGACAGAGCGCTACTCAGGGAGAGGAGGGAGGGGAGGGGAGGAGGGGAAGATCAGTTCCTCAGACAGCGCCGGAGAGGAAGCCGACAGACCAGCAGGTGGGGAGCCGAGTCTCGGAGAACTTCCTCTCCCCACCAGAGCTCCCGTGCACCCCCAGAGCAAGTTGGCTCGCGAGGTGGAGAGGAGCACACCCGCTCCTCGGCTTCCCCGCAGGCGCATTTGGAGTTCCAGCCCCAGATCTGCCTTGTGCAGGTTCAACCTGCAGAGCTTCCCGAGAGCCTCTGTGCTACAGCTTGGCACTATCTCTAACGTGCGTGATGCTTTTGTACCTGTAGCAATTTCGTTCATCTAACAAGACTAAGTACTTTCCCAGAGATATTCATCACGAAAATTTTTAAATCATTTTAAATTTTGAAAAAAAAAATCCTTCAAAATTCAAGAGTGCTCATTCTTCTGGGAGGAAAGAGTTACAGAATTTTGGTCAACAGGAATCAGACAGAGCCTCTGGTCCTCTCCTTTTATTTCACTTTTCCCCTATTTACTCAGCGGTGCTGGCAATAGAACACGGCATGCATGCGCTCTACCCCTAAGCTACACACCCGGGTCGGGTCTGCTCCTTTTACAAATAGGAAAGTGGACGCTCCCCTCCCGAACCCTAAAGGTAGGCCAGCAGGGAGACAACAGGCCAGGCCTGGACAGTGTACTGTCCAAGATGTTCTATTGCCTCGAATAGCCAGCTTTCCACAGGCCCACCTTGGAAGAATCACAGAAACACCAGAGGGGCTGTGATGAGACGAAATAAGACCTGCTCATTTTTTTAAAAAAGTATTTTTATTAGTTGTTGAGGGACCTTTATTTTATGTATTTATTTACATGCGGTGCTGAGAATCAAACCCACATGCTAGGCAAGTGCTCTACCGCTGAGCCACAAGCCCAGCCCAAGATCCGCTCATTTTTGACTGCCTCCAGTTGGGTTGTGCTTCTTGGAGGAGCAGATCTTCCCAGTTTAAGCAAAGCACCAGCGAGGCAATGTAGCTACCTTGAGTCTAATCCTTGAAAAGTAAACAAAATACCAGTCATTTTTGTTAAATTGACATCAAGTGTTTACGTTTAAAGAAGCAACGATACTTCTTAAGACAACTGATTGGGGGAGAACAGGAGCAAGTGAACACTGTCCAGCACTCTTTGGTGGACAGGCCCCCTCACAGGGTCACCAGAACCCCTCCTCCCACCTCTGAATTATAAGCAGACTGCCCAACACCCTAGTGCCCTGGGGTCTGCCTCTGGCTCCTGCCACTTGCCTCTCCCCATACAAGAGACTCTGCTCACAGCAGGTCTGATCATGACTTGCCTCTATGAAAATCTCTGGAGACTTCCCACTGCTTTCAGGTTAAAATCCAAATCTGGCATACCCAGCCCCCTGGGGGCTGACCCTAGTTCTGCAGTGTCTGCTCCCACCTTCCCACGGGTGCATTCCCACGCCAGCAACCCTGGACGTCTCATTCATCACCTGACAACTGTGGCTTTTCCTGCCGTGGTCTGGACACCCCAGAATGTCTCTTTCTCCTTCTATCTGGCACACTGCTCTTTCCCTTAAAACCTAGCTTAGAAGTGGCTTCCAGTCTGACAGCCGTCCTCCATCCCAGGGAAGTCCCCCGCCTCTCCGTGTACACCACATGTTAGCCTTGGTCACAGCAGACTGAAGTTAGTTCTTATGCCTGTCTTTCCCTGAAGTGTGAATTCCTTGCTGGTGATTTGGTTCTTACTTCTTTTGAGCTACTTGGGGCTAGTTTTTTGTTCTTGCTATTTAGCTGAGTGCTTGGTGTCCAGGAAATCAATAAAAGCTGTTGAAGAAATTAAAGAAATCTGCAGGTTCTTTCTAATTGCATGACAAGCCCATGGCCTGTGTAGAGGCTCTGGATAGCTCTGTGGGCTGCTGGAGTCTCCAGAGTTTACTCTCACACCTGCCATGTTGGTGTCCCGGGGCTATCAAGAGACTCTGTGGCTTAACTAACTGAAATTTATTTTCCCACAATCTGGGAGCTTTCCCTCTGTGCCTGTGCTTGTCTCCTCCTCTTATGGGGACACCCCTCATGTTGGATTAGGACCAACCAATTACCCATTTAACTTTTGTTACCACTGCCTGCAACTGCTGTCTGTCACATTCTGAGGCCCTGGGGACGAGGACTTCAGGATGTGTCTTGTGTTGACAAGATCCAGCCCATAACACTGCCTACCTCTCCTGAGCAAGGCTGTGGTCTCCTTCAGAGTCTGTCTTTTTTTTTCTTTTCCTTTTGGTAGTGCTGGGGACGAACCCAGGGCTGTGCATGCCAGGCTAATGCTCTGCCACTGAGCCACAGCTCCAGCCCCGGAGTCTGGTTCTTCTTTGTCTTAAGTGTGGTCCCGGAGCACACTCTATGAAGGAGAGGGAATCTACAAGAAAGCAGGCTCTTAGAGAAATGACAGGACTTTTCTGTTTTGTTTTCTCCTTTTGTGAGAGGCCTGTAGCCGTCTGTACTCATGAAAAAAGTGCTGGCCTGTAATATATTCAAGATCTGTTCCTTCTTTGGGGGAACACAATAATCAGTATTCAGTACTCAAAAGATACAGCTGTTTATGCAGGTTATTTTCAACTAGAGGCAGCCACTGAGGCATAAGCAAAGCATAACTTTTATGAGAAATCCAAATAAAATTAGTGATTTTTAAAAACCCAGCAGCAGAGATGGTCTTCCTCAAATTCAAAGAAAATCCTGTACCTTCCTTAAAATCTGTTTTGCACACTGTGGGGCTCCCTGTTCTTTCCTTTAGCCCCTCTGTCTTCTTCCTCCCTTTCCCCAGGGCCTTCTGTGACACACAAGGAGACCCCGCTGCGCAGTTAATTCTTGAACGTCAGCCTGAAGATTCTCCAGAGCACATCCTCAAGGGAGCCAGAGCTTGGGAACAGGTAGGATGTTCCCAATAGTGCACATTTTATCCTCCCTTGGAATAGAAGTTCTCTTATAAATGGATTTTTCTTTGCTTTTTTAAAGTAACTTTACATCGCTAATCATGTTAGCAGTGTAACTAATAGAATAGGAAATGCTACATATTATGAGAACAGTTGAATCCCCAAAACAGGGCCCTAAAGTTATCATGTTAACACCCTAGTGCCTTTACACAGAATTCACATTGTCCTATAAATTGTCAATCCCTCATCCTTACAGTTCTTACAGGCCAAGGAGGTCCCAGACAGCTTCCAAACTTGAAACTTGTGTTTTGAAAATTTCCTCATGAATCAGAAGTTTGGAACTCTAAATTTACTTTATCATAGAAATAAGCTATAAATGACGGTTCTATTTCCAGGACGGTTAGCTTAAACCTGTTTCAGTGACAGTATCTAAGAACGCATACGGTAAGCCAGGGCCTGGAATTGAATCCGTTCTCTGCTGCTCAGAGGTTCTGCGACCGTGAAGAAGCTACTTAACCCCTCTGAGCCTCTTCTGCAAGAGGACAGAGCCATAGTACCTATTTCCTCTGGCTGCTATAAGGTTCTGTGTTAACAGCACCTGAAACTATGCTTTGTATACAGTAGGCACCATGTAACCTGTAATTGCCTTCAGTTGGATACTGTGAACCCAAGAACTATCACAGAAGCCTGCAGTCTGGGTCCTGCAGCAGGGCTCCACCCTGGGGCCTCTAGATGCCACTCTCAACAGCACTGCCAAGCTGTCGCTCCCTCGCTTTGGCCTTCCCCACTGGCTGGGAGCTTTGCAGTTCACAGGCCAAGGAGGTCCCAGGCAATTCCTAAAAGTCTTGTATGACCTTGTCACAGCAGTGTACTCATCAAGCTGTATATAGCGAGTGCTCAATGAAGGTGACAAGAGATAATGGCAGAGGCCAGTGCAAGAGCAGACTTTTGAGAAATGAAGCACTCCAGAAGCGAGGAGGGAGAGCGCGTCCTTCCCTGCTGTGCACACAGCAGCCCCGCGGACCCTTTAGCACTCCTCGCCTCCCTTCTTGCAGTCCCCCCCCCAGGTGGTGGGCTCCTGGGCGCACCTTAGTTGAGAGTTCCCCAGCCGCTCTCCCAGGTCTGCTCTCCACACTGCCTTTCTGTCCTGTCAGTCGTGACTGCCGTCTGTTGCAGGAAAACCATCTCACACAAATCCACACGCGTTGTGAAAGCTGGGAATCCTTCATGCTCTGAGGGATTTACATTTTTCAAAAATTGCAATAGATTTCCCTTTAACACAGTGACGAGCTGTGTGTTTAAATGAAGTGAAAGGAAGGAGCTTTGGGCGGGGAGGGGGGAGCTGCCGAGCAGCAAGCTGGGCCTGGGTGACTCCCCCTGCAGGATGCTCACTGTGCTTCTCCCTGCCTGCAAGTTTCAATCCTGACCCCTACGAATTCGCCCGAATCCCGCCCCATCAACATCCACTGATGGCATTGTCTAGAAAGCCTCCCTATCCAAGGAGGGAGTGGCACGCGGACTAAGGGGCAGAGCTAGGGGCTTTGTAGAGTCTCATCATCGAGCAGAGATGAATTCATCATTGTTAGAAGACAGTTCTCCAAGCAGCACCTCCCATTTCCAGGCACCCTGCAAGCACAGGCAATGGCTGCCTCTGTCCTGGAGCACACTTTGAAGGATGTTTATAGGGCCACCCTTGGGAGCAGGAGAGGGTGGCCTTCTCTGAAGCAAAGAGCTGATG